ACAAATACCGTTCAAAATACACCTATGTGGCGATTCCCTTCAGACCAACAATTTTACAATCCGCAATTTTACCAACAGCCACAACGATCTAACTTCCCAACTGGCCCGATTAACATCGGACCAAATTATTTTAATAATCAATTTCAAAGACAAATTCAACCACGACAGCCTAATTTCTATCCACAAAATAGACAAGGTCCACCAAAAAACTTTAAACCGACACTCATGTCTACATCAACTATTACGAACCGCCCCTCGCAACAACAGAATCAATACCGTCTTTTTCTCAAATCACGGACAAAGACCAAATTTTATCGCTGAAGAACTAACCAACACCGAAGCGACCGAACAATCACAAAACGAAGAAGAATACGATGAACAGCAATACTATGATCCAAATTATGAAAATTATGACCAACAAGAATATGAAAATTCAGATAGTAACCCTACTGTCGAGTTTCCCCCTGAAGAGACAACTCAAAATTTTCCGAAAGCCCCAAATCAAAACCCATTGACTTAGATCTCAATAATTATGAGAACACACATTTGCCATACATTTATTTACAAAATTTAGATTTGCTAGTTCTTATAGACACTGGTGCATCTGTCTCTTTGATCAACACTCAAATTGCTTTCAATTATTTTCCAGATTACATTTATCCAAAACACTTTTCAATAAAATCTGTCATTGGTACTAATCACGGTGAATACGCTTTACGAATTCCTTTGTTCAATGAACATGGCATTAACACTGAAATTGAATTTCTCATTTTAGACTGGCACGAACGTTTTGACTGTTTGCTAGGATATTATGGTCTACAAAAATTTCAAGCTACTTTACAAGCATCTAAGAATTTGCTATCCATTGATCGTTTAAACTTTATTTGCCACACTGACAAAATACCACGTAAAATCCCGAACACTGTAATCAAAAATCAAGTTCTAAAATCCCCTATCAAAAATGGACAAATTATCGTTCCACCTATTAAATATCTAAATTCTATAATGGTACGATTCCACCAAAATAGTGTTCAGCACATTTGTTTACAAACATTTTGTGTGAAACTCCAGCATTGAATGTGCTCACTGCTATCGAATTTATCTTCTGTGTCCACCGGCAAAGCAGTGCATAACTTTTGTAAGCGTACAGTGTAGCACACTTGTGCACGAACATGTTTACCAAGCAAAGTTCTCACTAACTTCAGTTCTTAATATGGATGGGCGGGAATATGTAGTGTTTTGTGCCGCAGCTTGTGTTTTAATAGGTAGTCTGCTTAAAAATAACGAAGAAGAAAACCACGATGTTGGGTGAGACCTTTTCTGCAGCGATGGAATGAAGAAACGAATAGATTTGTAGAAGAAATAAAAGTAGATCCCTTAAGTGGATTTAAAGATTTTACTCGTGTGAAGATTTTGAGTTGCTGGTCAATGCACTTAGTCCTCATATTGCAAAGCAAGACACCAACTACAGAAAATGTGTCCCTGTTTCAATAAGGCTTATTTATAGCTTTTATTGCCCAACAGATAATATTCCATTTATAGGCCAAAATCTTAAATTAGAAATATTACAAAAGCCTAACTTATAAAACTATCTAAGGCGCTCCCGCAGAACACATTTTAACTCCGAAATAGAACATAAAAATATGTCACAAAACTTACAAATACTATTATAATTCAAACACATAACCCTTCCAGGTGATTTCAAAATCAAATTTGTGTTAGCACGACTGCAAAAGAAAGTAACATTACATCTTGAAACAAAATAAAATAACAAATAATATATCTGAAAACCCCGAACCTGAAGATTTTGAATCCGCAATTTTCTTCTTTTCTCTTCGGTACTGAGCCAAAATAATTTTCCATTTTCTCATTACCTCAGTCGAGTCACAATTGAAACTTTGAGCCAACTCTTGAGTGGCGTCGTGTTTTTATAATCATGCTGACTGGAATCCCATAGAAGAGGATAAGTTTCAATTGCTTGAATAAATTTTATAATTCTATAATTCGTCCAGTCCATTTTAAATTTCGTAAAAGAAGTGCGCGTACAAACAAATGTTTTCAGTCCAGGAGCGGAAGCAATACTGAGTTCGCGAACAACAAGTATGTACTCGAAGACGCGAGTCCACTGCTTGCATTTGTGAGCGCACAAAAGTAACTGATGTTCGCGAACGTTTCCGAAATGTTTGCGCACAATTTGCTATTGTTTGCGTGAGTGAGTCGACCAGAAGAAACATTTGTGCTGTACACTGTGCATTAGGGTGCCGCACAGTTCAGCACACTGGTGGAATCGCATCTTTAGAGTGCCGCACAGTTCAGCACACTGGTGGAATCGCATCTTAACGATTACACACCCGAAATGATTTGTACCGTTAATAATTACGAAGTACTATACCCAGAAAATCCAAATCTATTAGACTTAAACTATCAGTGCATCAAATTCGACAATTTAGATAATTACGACATTGAAACACCCCGGAATGAATATAATTTAACTGATATTGAAACTTTAATAAGAACTGATCACATGAATGACGAGGAAAAATACAAGATAACAGAACTTTGTAGAAAATTTCCTGAAGCTTTCCTAAAACCTAACGAAAAATTAGAGCCATGTACCGTAACATCTCATTCTATCAGAACAAAACACGACGACCCAATATTTGTAAAATCTTTTCGCTATCCAGTCTATTTAAAAACCGAAATTCAGAAACAAGTCGCTAAACTTTTGCAAGATGACATCATCCGTCCCAGTACAAGTCCGTACTCATCACCTGTATGGATCATAAATAAGAAGCCTGACACTTCCGGCGTTAAAAAATATCGCATGGTAATCGATTTTCGTAAACTAAATGACATTACTATCCAAGATAAATATCCTTTTCCCCGAACTGAAGAAATATTAGAGAGTTTAGGCAAAGCCAAATATTTTTCAACGTTAGATCTGGCACAAGGATTCCATCAGATTCCTATGCACAAAGACTCAATTGAAAAGGCTGCCTTCACCGTCGACAACGGGCACTATGAATACTTACGAATGCCCTTCGGACTGAAAAACGCTCCAGCAACATTCCAAAGAATGATGAATTTTGTTTTAAAACCTTACATCGGAAAAATATGTTTCGTCTATTTAGATGACATAATAATTTTCTCAAAATCATTGCAAGACCACCTTATTCATTTGAAATCTATATTTAATTAAAAATCAAATAAAAAAAGCAGACTAACAAAATTAACGAAAAACGCGTATCTAAGATCCCCGTTTTAAAATCTCCGATCTATATCAAAATCCCAATCAGACAAACTAAGGACAAACCAAAATATCAAAAACACACTATTTTCAAACAACAAGGAAATCAAATTTTAATCAAAGATAGAAAACACATGCTGAGACGAATCAAGCCTCAACGTAAAAATCCTTTACAGAGCTCTACCAGTCCAATGCCTACCAATTCGAGCGCTACTGATGAACCCTCTGCTCAAAGCACCCCCGGTAATCAAACTGCCGCTAGGAAATTCAAGATTAATCGAAAATCATCATAAAACTCAATTCCTTATTAATTTAAATTATATAACCAATCCAAAAATACATGAAGATCAACACGCACTGAATCTACAGAATTAAAAAGTTATTTTCTTCTGTAAAGGTTTGCAAGGCACTTTTGAGCACAATATCCAAGAAAGCATAGTTTCTGTTACACAAAATATGGCTTTTCAAATGAAATTCTTCGAGCAAATCGCACATCAAATAAATTTAAATTCAAATTAATCATTTGAGCTTCCTATCCATTCTTTCATTAAATCATAGGGAAATAAATATCCTCATTGAACATTTGCAAACTTTATACCATAAAGATCATCTGTTAGATTTTGAAACAATGCACCCTTTTGAGATACTGAATCTTTGCGAACTATCAATTGTAACTTTGCGAAATGAATCATATTCGTAATTCATGTACCTCTTCTTGACCATAAAAACTTACAGTGTTTTTGAATTGTATCCGTTAATTATAAGGAATGAATTAATAAAGATCCCAAGCAATTTTACTTTGTAATTTGAAGAAGAAAGATTTTCATTTTCATATTCACTTAAAATACTATTAATACTAATATTTCAATTGATATTAAAGACTGCAAGCAGATTGAATTATCATTGCCTTTACTTAAAAGTAATTTTAGCTTTTTAAATCATTCTTATTACCAAAATCATTTGGAAATAATCGTTCATACTAAGTTGCAAAACCTTTCTTACGACTCTTACAGCTTTGTAACCATATTGTAACTGTAAATTAAATTTTCTCTAAGTTGGAGACCAACTTTTCGTAGGAGGGAGGAGTTATGGAATCCTGTTGGTAACATAACTATGTGGTACAAGCCCATTATTCCAACAAATTGAATTGTATGGCAAGCAAGCCCATTAAGAAATATTTGCTTTTTACTTCGTTTTTTTCGATACAGCTCTGTTATTTTTCCTATAAAAGTTAGAATTATATCGAGGCATAGACACATTTTGTTCAATACTTGTAACCACTCTTCGTTCCTGCAATAAAGTCTGTTATTTTTTTACCATACGACGTGTGCATTCTTTATCTTGTATCATTTTCGAAATTTTTTGCGGTTACAGTACTCCTTTGCAAGTAGGTGTAAAAAGTAAAAGTGGTGCAAAAGATAAAAAAAATAGAGCAGAATAACGGCAGTCAAGATCAAGATTATAACCTTGGCCTCAATTCAGCTGATATCCAAACGTATGCCAATGAGCATAGCCTTTTAACTACTGAGAGACCAATTTAAAAAATCAGTTGTGTAGTATGCATGGACTCGTATCTTCCACGTCAGGGTTATCGTGAGAAAATTTTTGTTGTCTTACTTTATCCTTATTGTTTACTATTCACAGAGCTAGGATACGTTTCCATTACATCCAATGAATTCAAATAGATTAGCAGGAGCCAAACCAATATGTTTACATTGCATTGTTTGTTGCTAAAATTGCGTGGTTTTGGTGCGTAATCTTGACTGATTATATCAACATTTTAATAATACTTACTGGTGGACAGATCTACCTTCATTAGGCTTGTGTTATACAAGAAATACCTTGTCCTGAATCGGTCTAACACCACAATTATCTACAGACGCTCGCACTTTTAATAAATAAGGCAAAATATACCAATTTAGTGACAGAACTGTCAAAAATTTGAAATGTCTAGTCCACATAACATGGGTTTGTCCTTCTACATTGTGTCAATGAGTGATCATAACCAAGCTCCGCCACATCTATAGCGTCATGTGCCAGCACATCTGCTAGATACGGAAAGGGTAATTAATGCCTATCTTGTATTTTATTTGTGTTTATTGAATACTTCATTATGTGATTATGTTTTAAATTTTCAGATACAGGGTGCTTAATTTTTCAAAAATAAACCACTTCATTACTAAGGCCCGTATCGTCAATCGTCCCTACAATTGTAGGGCGCGTTTACGGCCTCCTTGATTGTCATACTCCTGTCTCTCCTTCAATAATTTCTAGATTACACTTGTCCCGTGTCAGCGTCAGCGCTATCCTATTGTGAAGATATGTTTTCTTTTTAAATTGTAGGAAATTTCAGGCTAATAAAACATGATATAACTCAAAAGCAAGCACAATTTGATGCAAATAGATGTTTGTGACATAACCTCAAAATAGAGTTCTGACACGGAGAAGTAGAAAACTATGACAGTCAAGGAGGCCATAAAGGCGCCCTACAATTGTAGGGACGACTGACGATATGGGCCCAAGATCTGTATTACCACCTTAGATATTTTAATGCAATTTGGTGTTCATGTACTACCAAGAGGCATTTTTGATGCACCACATTTTTTTTTATTTTTTCCACTAGCGTTCCTATGGAACTTCATCTCGCTATTGTGTCAGACAGTGATGGTACGCTATTGATTTCTCTTAGAATAATAATTATCCTTAATATCTCCAATCACTTCTGATCAAATTTGATACGACGTTTTTTAATCCGATGCACTTTTTTCTTATAAAAAAATAAAACCGTTTCTGTGCATGATCATAACAGTATAGTAAAAATGACAATACCATCATGCAAAGAAACAGATTTTATTTAATTAGATGAGAACCGTGCATCGGGCTAAAGAAATCAAAAGATTGAATCTGCTCACAAATGATGAAGATTCCAATTTTCCTGATTTTAAGGGTAGTCTCCGTGCCAAATGATTTATTTTTGAAAAACTTACCACCCTGTAACTCAAAAGTTAAGACGCATAGGAGATACGCTTTTAGAAAGTTTTATTCTTAGATGCACACAAGTATCGCGCCCCTATATTCATTCAATTGTGATCTCATACAATTTCTATAAGTTATTTCCATGTGTCCTCTCCCACTAGAATACATAGTTATACAACAAACAAGAGAGAATATGCGTCCAAAAAGCCTCTGAAAAATATAAATATACATCAGAGATGAATAATAGTCGCTGCCCGTAGCGGCTAGTATCACATGCACGTTCGAAAAATGCGTTTTGAGGAATAACGGTTTGTACTGTACCTTAAACAATAGAACAAATTCAAATCCTCGTCCCACGTACCTACATATGAAAAATGTATGCTAGTCAATTGTTTACCGTTTTTCGTAAAATTCAGTAAGACAATGCACTATTTAATTTCAGTTGATTATCCATAGTATGGGTACACGTGGATGTTAAGATATTCATAGCTTCCTGCACCATGGGTTTATAGGTGGTGCACATAATTTCGATAATTCAGATTTTAGTTACAGTATGCATTGTCAGTGAACAACAATTGCTAATCCACAATATCCGCCTATAATCGGATACTTTCTGTAAGGAAATTTTCTTTTATTCAGTGTTGTTCCAAAGACAATACAACATCAAGCCAACAGCAAAGAGTAGTTATAACAAGAGATGACACTCCGTGGTATGCCCTTATTTTCCGCTGGTTGGCCCCATTGATCTTGGGAGTCACCTGCATTATAGTGGGGAAGCCGATCGTACATTTCTTGTTAGATCATCGCGTACTCATACGACATGATAAAAACTTACACCTTACGAGTTTACTACTTACCATTAAAATACGTAAGTTTTTACTAGTTTTCAATATTCCATTTCAGCACGCAATGTAACCAAAACATTTTGGTGGGCTCTTGGACTATTAGAGGCTTACAAATAATGAAAACAGCGAAATATGAGCGGATCGTCCTTAGCTTGGTGATTCGTTCATAATAATAACTGCATGTAGCGAGGTGGTGTTGCCAAGCTGCCATAAAAGTATATAAGGCGCTCCATTTATACTAAGCACATTGGAGCTCAGCTCTTTTAACGGTTTTTGATGATTTCGTCAAAAAGTCATACGAAATAAGTAAACATAGCGTCTTAAGGACAGGCGGTCTAGATAACTCGCGACTATGTCCGATAGACCGACGATTGGTCAAATCAGCAAGTTGAGGCTAGAAAACTTTAGAATTTCATGCTGACGTACTTCCTTTGGTACTAAGCTAAGTCGTGTGGTTTTCCGCTTAGGACTCAAAGAGTTAAATAGCTGTGTGATAACTTACAGATTTCTCTTGCGAAAAGTGTGATTTATAACTTTATTGAATGAGAAATATATTTCGTATGCTGCAAATGAATGATAAATATCCCAACCGTGAATAAATGGTCAAACAATTGTAAATTTGAACAAGAAATGCGTTCACTACAAGTCATGGCTTACAAATTGATCCAAAAAGGATTATCTGTATCTGGCAACACCTGTTTTGTGAACGCCATGTCTTTGGAGTCTTCTCTTATCTCTCTCTAGTGTAGCATAAAAAATAGATTCCTAAAGATGACAGATATATCATGATAAGAATCCAATAATAAAAAATTTGTAGGGGTGAAACTCAAAAACCTGACGGTTATTCAAATGAATTACCATAATCACAGTATTCACTGAAACCGATATGCTTGAATTCTTCAAAGTAAGCAATGTTTCGGTACAGTTTTGTAGCGATAAAAGTTGAACCTAGTTCTAGCTATCTGCACTGGACTACACCTAGGCTTAGCCATACAGAAAGCCGAGACACTAAGCTTTAACCATCTGTGGTCGTTTATTCGACCTAGGTTCAGCTAGCTAGTCCTAGATTCAGCGGCATTTCGGGTGTCAGCTATTATGAACCCATTATATCTAACTTTGTCACTAACATCATAAATTGTAGCGTTTCCGCTATTCTATTTTATCAGCCAAGGTCAAAAACGGATCGTCGGTTCTAACCTTTGTGGATTTTCAGCAATATCGACATTCAAAACTCCTGAAGAGCAGGGAAATCCTTAATGTTTTTTGTGAATAACCTAGGAATGTTAAATCAGTCAAATTGTAGCCGATTTTTTCACGTGTATCTCGCTTGGTATTGGACTTTATGATGGAACAGCAGAATGTGCATGCAGACCTTACTGTATGCAGCTCCACGGACTGCAGTATTTGCTTTCAAGGAGGCAAGATTAAGATATAACGGTCAATCTCACCTATTAATGTATTCTGCGTAGTTGTGTATGGACATTGAATAAATACATCCATCGAAGTGCTATAAACACGTCAGTAGGTATGCGTTATTTCTTTGTAGATTGTCATGTTGAAATTTCACATGCGTCGTAAACTTGTATGTACATGGATGCTGAATACTTTAGGTCATTTCAGTGTCGGAGTTTAACAAGTACATATTACGATATAGTGTTCAAAAGTTTATGAAACACATTTGGAATAATATTAGGGTTCTGTAGGTATCGTAATTTTCTGAACACTGGATCCATGTGTTTGGAAACAGACATTAATAATGTTCCTTCTACTTTACTATGGCCATTTTTGTGAGTTGGTGATGTGTTATTTGGAAAAGACGATCGATAGCTATCACTGCCGCGTTGAATTTGACAAGAAGACTTTACGACCTAATTTCTAAAAACAAAGGGTTACGGCGCTGACCACTGGAAGACCCATGGATTCGAGTTCCGCACGGGTATTACGTATCTTGAAAAGTAACGTTATATCGGTTTTTTGACATTATACTAGTTCTTTTTGATATTATGTAGGTTTTTCTACAAGTTGTTATCTTAGCACTCAGTTATCAATGTTTGGTCCTGATGAGATGTAAAATCTGCTTCAGATATGGCATTACTGGAGGCTAAGCTGTAAGTTGTATGTGTTGATAATTCCATTGGATTTTTGTCTCAATTATACTTACTTGAGATTCAAAGCTAGAAATTAGTTGTGCATCCACTTTTTTTTATCCATTCTGGAAATTAAATATGTAAATTTGCTGAATTTCAAAAATGATGGAGATAAGAAATAATTATATTCACTGTACACTGTCGAATTACAAGCCATATACGTACTAACAGTAATTACACACAACGCGGACGCGGTGGTGATTTCACATAATTCTCCTCAAAGTTTTTCGCAATTTATACCTTTGAACATAACCTCTCATCAGAAAGCACAACACAAGTAACTCGTCGGGCACACTAATAGATATACTTCATTGGCAGCATACCCAGCAATGATTTTCTCACACAGCAAATATCACTGATTTCATACACACGCAGACCAATACACATAATCATCCAGATGCGGTCTTGCTTTTTAACCAACTTTCTTCTCATAGATGATAACTACAGACCGCTGGGCTTCACAAAACATATGCAACCAACAATGCGTGTAGTTTAGTTGAGTCATTCCTCCATAGATGGACGCTCACAACGATCCTAGTGAGCAAACGTGGAATGCCTGTTTGCACTAGAAAAACTACCTAGTCTAAAAGATGACATTTTATAGGTTTTTTTGACGTTTTCTAGGCTTTTCACATAATACCCGTGACGGCCTTAAAAAGTAAAATTTTGGAGTCATGGATGTTGTGTTTCGCTATATATGTACGTAGAAAATCGGTTCATGATCAAACTTGTACATCCCACCATTGCCGCTGCTTTATCCAACAATCAGTTACGTGGTGGTATCAGCTGGTCATAGTAGGTATGTATTACGGTATTGGTACAATTGGATCGAAAAAAGAGTAGAAGGTATCCTAGTTGACACTTCACACCAGTACTAAATTTCTAAGACTAAGTCAACTCATAGTCGTACAAAAATGGTATTCAGAATATGTAAAGCATTATTAAAAAATACTTTCAAGCCAGGTTTTCATAAACATGAGTCCTGGGATGTTTCCTCACCAACATACACGCAGCTGGACTCACGATTTTTTCTTAACACCATATTTAAGATCTCTACACTTCGGGCTGCAATTATACTAGGTGCGGGCGTAGGAACTAGCAGATTTTGACACCTTAGTAGAAAAAAAAATTCGCCATTTTTTCTAAACTTTTTCAGCATCCATTGAGTGATTTTTGCGATATTCTATTTGGAATAAAATTGGTCTGAATATCAGAGGCGAAATCCAAATGATTCCATATAAAAGACTAAGACTACCTTCGAAATACCAGAATGTGGCGGATTTTGACATTGTAAAATCGTATGGGTAGTACAGTCAATCAATATGATCAGTTTCCTAGAAATCTTTTGTCTGGAGTGGGCGAGAGCTTTTATTGGATTGTGAAATTTGCAAGCATCTAGCAGCTTAAAATCATATCACTAGGATGGCTAAAACGCTATTCGGAGGGCTTCCTCCCAGGTAGCGGCCATATATGTTAATTATTTTCATTTTGCAGCACTGCGGTGGAGCACCTCGATCTTGGGTAAATGGCTTATACAGCAGCCTCATCTTCAGGCTTAATAGCTTCTACAGAGATAATTGAAATAGAGCGAAAACTAAATATGAAACAGTTTATAGAAATGATTGTGAGTAGCGTTTTTGCAAAGGAAACTCGAAGCCGTTTAGTTCTCCAGGTTAGCTAGTTAGGACGATATTCTTATTCTTCAGAAATACTCGTAAGTAGCTAAATGGGAAATGTTCTACCATAAATTTTGACATAATTCCCGATTTATTGATTTAATAAAATCAGATGTGTTGCTCTCAGACAGAAACTTTCTCTACGGTTTATTATTTATAAGTGGAAGAACAGATGTCTGTCACATCAAAAGCCCTTCTCCAAACTCTTTTTTCTATACAAATGTATGTTTATTGGTTAATGTTTGGCGAATAAACACGTTTATTATTATTATTATTATTTTTATTACTCGTATTATTATTACTATTTTCACAACTATAGAGCCCAAATTCAGCTACAAAGTTGGAATCTCAGAAAGCAGAAGTATACAAGAGCTCTCATTTGAGTTATTAACTAAAAGTTCAATTTGCTTGACTTAGCAAGAAAGTTTGAAAATTGCGGTTGTGTGAGCTGCTAGCAACTAACCGTCAAAACGCATATGTATGTCATATCCTCTCCTTTCAAGAGGGCCAATACAAGGTGTTTCACAGCTCATCCTTCACATTTTAAACGCATATGCACTGTTACGAAATAAGTTGATTTCTCAAAAAAATGTAATAAAAGTCCTACAGAAATTAAGTTATAAACCTGAGTTTCAATAATAAATTGAAAAATAGATATCTGTATTTTGGCGTTCATCGTCGTGATTTTAGAACACGCATTAATAATTTATTGTAGCAAATGTTGTACCAAACAACTTACGAAAACAAAATACCAGGAATTTTTTGTTTTTTCATATTGATAATAACGTGTAAATAAGGTTTAATCTGTATCGTGGGTGATCTGAATGAAGAACTGTCAATTTTTGTGAAGTTAAATAAAAACGTATTTTGCAAGTTTATATTTTTAGTTATTTATTAATAAAAATGGCACATGTGTACACTGATGAGGAATTAGTGGACATTGTTTTACCGTACGGATACACAGGACAAAATTTGCGAGCGGCTTCTCGTTTGTGTGCACACCAATTTCCGAATAGGCACATACCACATCACGAAACATTTAGTTCAATTGTTTTACGTGCACCTGCTAGTGGAGACTTGCGCCCCAGACGTGGAGTGGATGGAGGTGGGGTTCGCCCACAACGCGTTTTAAATGCCGAAGACGAAATTTTGGATATTGTGGAAGAAAATCTGGGAATAAGCACAAGACAGTTAGCCCAACAGGTCCCAGAAGTGTCACCTGAGGGCCAACTGTACCCTTATCACGTCCAGAGAGTTCAGGCGTTGCTATCTACAAACTACCCCCTTTACAGCTGATGTTTTAGTCATAGATGATGGTATTTTTACTCATAATGGGATAACAAATCTTGATACTACACACGTTTGGTCCTTTGAGAATCCTCACAGTGGTCCAGACACTTTTATAACATTGTTTTTCTTTAAAGATGTGGGCAGGTATTGTCGATGAACGCCTAATTGGACCGTTCATATTACCAGATCGGATGGTCACCAGTATTTGGAATTTCTTCGGAATGATTTGCCGGTCCTTCTTGAACATGTGACATTGGCGGTTCGAACACGGATTGGTTTCTGCATGATGGGGCACCTCCGCATTTTCGTTTAGAAGTTTGTAATTTTTTGAATAAGGTATACCAGATACGCTCTGGACTTCTTTTTATGGGGATTCTTGAAAAACGAGGTATACCGTCCTCCAGTTCAGAATATTAAAGAATTGCGTGATCGGATCATACTGGCTGCCGATAATTTGAGCCTTTAGGCACAGAAGGAAGGAGGTGTTTTTGAATTAGTGCGCCAAAATCGGATTAGTCGCGCCCAAGCTTGCATTGCAGTCAATGGAAACAATTTTGAACATTATAAATAAGTGAACTGTTAAACGGTATTAGTTTATTATCTCGAATTCTGTAGGACATTTTTTTGAGAAATCTTTCGTAACAGTGCATATGTGGTTAAAATTTGTCGGATAAGTTGTGAAAAACCCTATATAAGTACGAGATAAATGGGCAATCCGTTAAAAAAAAATGAAACCTAGATTCTGAGTCTTAAAGGTAAGTGTAGGAGGAAATCTATGTATGAAATATGTCCAACTATGCTTAGAATTAAGGGAGTTGGAAGGATATAAATACCAAGGTCAAACATTCAAGCATACCCTTCCCCACCCCCGAGAGCTATCCATACCAATTTCGTCTTTGGCATAATAGTAACTTTGTGCCAAAATTTAATCAAAATCCGAGCAGTACATTCCGAGGTCTAGAAGGCTCACTGGGAATCAGCCGACAGACAGACCAACAGACCGACAGAAATTACTGGCATGGTTTCTCGTGATGAATCTGGGTTTTTCAAGTTTTTCGCGGTTACAATACTTTCTCGCAAATTGACGTGGGAACTGACAGTACAAAATTTCCGATACTAGGTCACAAGAGACATTAAAAGCAACTTGAAATGCCTCACAAGAAAAGAAGCCCGAGCAAGACATTTTGATGGACAAAAGCAGTACAAGCACTTTAGGCGTGGCTTTGTTGAGGTTAGCGAAAGACTGGTTCCTAGAAACTTTAAACGTCCTAATTGCCACGCGAGGATGTCCGCTGTAAAAGCGTTTTCACGTTCCACAGCTTGTCATTTTTTGTTCGCCAGCAAAAAGTTAGCGCTTAAAAGGGGTGTTGTATATGGGACTGCTGCGGCTACTTAGGACTTACCGAGCTGTAAAACATTGGACCGTTGGCATACGAGAAAGGTTCGGTTCTGCTGGACACATTAAACGAAAAGTGTCATTTTTCTGAAATTAGGCTAAGCTGGTGTGATTAAATTCACCGACTAAATATGTAGCTGGAACTTAAAGGCGAAACAAGGATGCTGAAATTCATTTTCCGTGTATGGAGGGAACTAGACTCAGATTAAATATTTTTACCTTCAGAATTCCAGCAGTTAACACAGGCTCACAAAATAAAAAAGTTGACGTGTGCTGGGGGTTCCACTATGTTTTTCCCATCTACTTTTTCCCGCTGAACACGAATGTGAAGTAACAATTTTGAGTCGCTGGCAATTATGCAAGTAATTTCGGCATTAAGATCACAGATTTTAGTATTTTTGGTGCATGTATATCTCTCAGATATCTCCTATCTCATCCACCAAAGATACCTAACAAAAATTGTAATTCTGATGTTGTAATTACTTTTATATTTGTCCATCGACGCCAATTTTGACCTCAGATTCGTGCTCAGCAGCAAAAATATGGTGCACATAACCTTTTATTATTTGTCATACGATTTTTATCGTTTTTATACGTTTTCTCTAAAATTTCTCCATCGACTTCCAATTTCGACTTTCGATTTGAGTTCAGCGAGAAAAAGTAAATGGGGAACAATATAGTGCCAGCACACCATTCTTTATTATTTTGTGGGCCTGTGTTGTTGTAGGTGAATTCATGAGGAATAAAGTATGAAAAAAGGATGTTATAGTGTTTTTCCTTGATAAAGACAGAGATATTTCTTAGTCGATTTTCGCCAGGAGCGTGGTGAATACTAGGGGAATTAAATCAATCGCTGCGCACGCCGTGGACAAAAACTGAAATGTCGTCGGTCTGATAGTGAAACGTATGCGTGGTTACTATGGTAAATTCTGTTTTAACCTCAAATTGACCAATTAATAATAATTTCATTGATGCCCTTTTATTTTTACATTGCACACGTGCAAGTATTTCTGTCCGCCAAGTAGCTCTGTCATCACGAACTCAGCGAATATGAGTAGTTATAACGTTATTGTTGAGCGACTCTTTCGATCGGTCCGTAAATGTTATTTGAGATATTTCCTACGTCAGGGTATCGTTAAGGAATATAAAAACCTTTTGAAACCATGCCTGCGAACACCTAGTATCTGGGGCCTGTTTTGAATCGATAATCTTTGGAAGATTCACGGAAAAAACTAAAGGGAGCTGGGGTGTACTGACTTTGCACTGTTGAATCTTAAAATTGCAATGATGGCTTCTCACAATCACGGCATTTTAGGCCCGTATCGTCAGTCGTCCCCACAATTGTAGGGCGCGTTTATGGCCTCCTTGATTGTCATACTCCTTTCCCTCCTTCATAAATTTCTAGATTACCCTTGTCCCGTGTCAGCGTCAGCGCTCTCCTATTGTGAAGATATGTTTTCTTTTTAAATTGTAGGAAATATCAGGGTGATAAAACATGATATAACTCAAAAGCAAGCACAATTTGATGCAAATAGATGTTTGTGAGATAACCTCAAAATGGAGGCTGACAGGGAGAAGTAGAAAACTACGACAATCAAGGAGGCCATAAGGGCGCCCTACAATTGTAGGGACGACTGACGATACGGGCCTTAGAGGACCTTTCAGACTATTGTAGTAACACATTGTATAAGAATGTGTAAACGAAAGAAAAAACAAAGGAAGTGTCACCTGGAAGACAGACAAGCAAAATAAATTGTCAAAAGTGTCATATGTACTTGAAAAAGTCACCGTTTAAACGTATATCTGACTATCAGCATGAAAGCTGCATAATAAGTCTTAGATGTTACATTAAAACTAAGCTGATTTATATATGCTGACGTCACTATTATGCATTGTTGCTGTTATGCTGTCCAAGCTGCTTGCGTGAGATCTTTTTTAGCTCTAAGCCAAATGCTCTTAAACGACGATCTGCCATTAAAGCCCAAACCGTGGCGGTAGCTCTGGAGCCAACATGTTGAGCAAACCGGTGAGACGAGTAGCACACTCATTCTTTTTACGAGATGGCGACCGAAACTGTCCCACCTTGCGAGATATCTCTTTCTCTGCCTACTTAAGGTTGATATTTAATACCCACAAAAGCTGGACACAAGCGTGACACCTTGTCAACATTACCGTCTCAAATGTAACAATAATATCATCAAGATGGGAAACAGCGCGTAATTTGGAAACTTTAGTAAATATACCTTTTCTCGAAACGGTGCTAACGTAAGGCTCGAAAGAATGGGAAGCGATATGCTATCACAAGGGGAAGAGGGAATGTAGTGAGATATCACTGGTATTTATTTTTTTGTCGAGAGCGAGATTTTTGACCAAAAGTGCACCGCGTGGCCTGGACTCGCCGTGACCAACTAATGATTTCCCTACTCGCTGCGTCAACTCCCGAGCTCGGTTTGCCAGTCGCCAGTAATACCTTTCCTTTATTATTTTTATCCCATTCAGAAACAACCAGAAACGTTAATGCCTGTCAGGGAACTGAGGTACAGTATACCTGCGTTTGAATATATTCAATATTCTGAGATTTTAATACCTTATACCAAATAATATATGAAATTTTGAGTAGGGGAAAAGGCTATAATTTCAACGCGTATCACCAGGTGGTGGAAGGTATAGAAATGTTGCTAATAAACTCAAGTGATTGATGGACGACCTACCAGTTGCAAAAAAAGTTTTAGCTTAACAATCGAGCAATATAATTAAAAACTCTACTACAGATCTGAACTACACAGACATGCAATTTGTAATTTATAATTATTAGTTAAAGTAATACTTATGCTTGTACCGCTAATGAAAATCTTCCACTTACATCTGAAGGTGTCGTAGCTTACTTCTGACGTCATCAGGAGAAAGGCAACTCTACGACCGTTCATGCTTGGTATCAAATACGTTTGATTTGCAGGCGTGGACAAGCCAGTTGGAAGCCACGCAGATCATAGTCTGCCTATCAAACGTGGTGAAAATGCGTTCCAGGAAGAAGTCAAATTGAACTGCAGACATTTGTAAATTTTTTTCCAAGATCTTCAAGGTGTTCATTTATGAATTCAGCGTTTGCCTAATTGTCTTCGCCCAAATTATTCCATCCAAGTATCCACTTCTTGGTCCATCAAGGCCTTTTAATTTATTTTTCCTCGTGACTCTCAGTGAGAGTAATCTGAATCGTGATCGTGTGAACTGCCAATGACCCTCGTTGATTCATTTTCAGTCCCCGCTCAAGGAAACACTCACTCAAGAGAGATCGACAGCATGCCATCCTCTGCCCCGTAAGAACGTGGCTTTACTTTTGCTTATGCGCAGTATAATCCAGAACCAGAGTATCTGAGGTGTGGGAGGCGCATTTCCGGGCCAACAACACTCCCCTGGAGTTACAACTAATAAATTATTTATACATCTGTTTTATGTAGGAGGTATAACGGACCCTTTACTTATAAAGTTTGGGTTGTCCATTATTATCTTGAGATGAATAATAGACAAGCAATTAGCGAAGGAACACCTAATACCATATCCTACTGATGAATGGCGTGATAAGTCTATCGACGCGCTTTTGGCCTGTGCCTAGTAAATGTTAATATTTTCGATAACTTTGGTTATTAATATATTTTCAGGATTGGAGCAAGAGGAAAAAATAGTTGCTATCAACAGAGCATCAGTCCATGTTATAAGTGAGGTTAACCACACTAACTAGTAATGTGTAACTAGGAATATGGGATTCACTCGCCAGGAACTCATCACACCAACGCAGTATTTCTCATAAGTCTCATTATTGTTGTATGCATGTTATTAGACAATTACAAACGATTTTCATGATGCAGAAATCGCTGAGCATTTTCTGTTTATTAGAGATGGGCGTCTTTCAGAGAATAAATCGACATTGGTATCTACATCTTAACATTGAATATAAAGCATTTACATATGGATATTGAAGCCAGTGTTGTTGCTTGACTATCAAAACACAAATATTTCAACTCAGAATTATCATGTGTACTTGAAAAAGGCCACCATGGTAGTCGAAAGATCCTGTCAGTAAACAGTAGTTCGAACATGGTTTCATTTAGTAGCCACAAAAACCTGGAGAATTATTAGCATGAAAACTGCAGGATAAGTTTCAGGTGTTACAATCATCTGTGTTTCCATTAATTCATTAGCATAACATAGAGATGCACTAAAGAGACAAGCACAAGGAGATTCACAGAGGCGACGCGGGTGCTACGCCCCTATAATAATAATAAATCGTCTTTATTTAGGGGGCGAAGTTTAGCATAATGCTATTCTGCCACTTAACCTCAAACAAAAAAAACTGAAAATCAATACAAATAACATAAGAGAAGTTCAAAAATGTAGGAGTATAAAAAATATGATGTATATAACATATATATGTTCTTCTAGTGCTCTATCTAGGAGAGTAAGTGACCTTGCTAGACCTAAATCGTGAGAATAATAAAACTGGTTCTAAAAGCCTGATTTATGTATTACTTTTAAGTGTTAAAACTGTCCACATTGGTGCTATATCCGCCTCTGGTATGAAGTATGTTGTAACAATCACACACACTCATTCAAACGACATATTTTTGCCAAACTGTAATAACTGAGCCACTGGTTTTGATATCATTTTAAAAGCAAATAACCATGCTTTCATCTCAAAAGCTTTAATCGCTGTTTATAGCTGTAACGTCTGTGCTGTGGGCATTCAAAGGAAAATTGTTACAACCGTATCTAGTCTACCTCACCAAAGAGCATTGATTTCCGAGCACAACAACTTAATACATTGCTTCGCAGAATTAACCAGACAAACAAAATTTTGTTCAAATTAAATTTGAAATAACTTGTTAAGCTTTGCATCAATTTTGTTAATTTTTTCGTCGAGTTGTAGGTAATTTCATTGTTATCATTATCGACTGCTGATCTTGCAAAAAAAAGAAAATGTTTGTTGTTATACAGGGTGCAACTAAAAGGTGCATTCTGCCCTAATTTTCTGAACACCATGTGGAAACATTGAATTTCTGAATAATGTGTCTTCCTATTAGAATTTTAAACCTCAACTTTTCTCAACAGTTCTTTTTTGAAGAAAATTATGAACATCATAACCATAAGCAATTTAACTTAAAAAATTACAGTGACATCATTGGTAATTATAAATTGTTATCAAAAACGAGTATTTCCTTCCCGGGCTTAAATAATAGCTCTCATCCTCTCTGGCATAGACTCAATTAAACCAGCTGTTGTGTCTTGTGGTATTTGCTCCCACTCGTTTACCAGCGCCTGTTCCACTGCAGCCACAGTTTGAAATTCTCTATAGTTATGCCTAAGCCTTCTTCATAATGTATCCCCCATGCGCTCAATGGAGTTGAGATCCGGACTCCTTGGCGGCCAGTCTAGTACTTGAATTCCAACATCGTTGAGGTATTGCCTAGTCATTCTGGCTATATACGGCCGAGCATTAACTTGCTTAAATGCGGGTACGCATACGAGCACGAACGCGAATGAGGCAACCCGAGGACGCATGAGGATGTGTATGTGTACGACCGAACGAGGCGTATGCATTCGGGCTCGACCCGATCCGTTTCTTCGCGGTACATCAAAGTGAGGCACATGCTCGGTGCGTGCTCAGTCTGGACGGACATAAACATTCCAAGTCTACTCTGTAGTAACTAGTAATGGACGGAAAAAGATTGTTGTTTTCAATTACTTTTGTTTATTGCTTCTTTGTAAGAATAATGGAATGGCCTCAGAATTTAGTGTTACGGCTCATTGAAGTATATCAAAAGAGAGATATATTATTACCTACCTGAAGTCACTCAAACAGTCAATAGTTGCTTGACATACTTCTGGTACTATTGTGGAAATTAACTGTTTAGATACTTTAAAAAGGTACTGCAAACTTATAAACGAATCTCCTGTAGCAAGGTACCGTCTTGAGACATCCTGGTAAAATTTTCAAAAAACCCGCTCGTTTTATCGGCCTAGAGATCTTTTAACAAACCTGTGCTATTTACATTCAACTGTCTTCTCTTTTGGATTTTTCTTGTTTTTCTTTTTTAATATACTGGCTAAAATTATGCAGCAGAATCTGAATCGGTCATATCTTAAAAGCTACTGAAATATAGATTGCTCGTCTCATCCCATGGATCGATGCCGTACATCGCCTCGTGCGTCTATTATTCGGTAACGTAAACTACCCGTATCCGAGGCCAATGGTTCGTCCACGGGTTGCCTCATTCACGTTCGTGCTCATATGCGTACCCGCCTTGAGGAGAAAATATTCTCCTATAAAGGGCATATGAGGAACCATATGCTCTTCCAAACACTCTCTAATGTACCTGTCGGCAGTAAGGTGTCCTCCTCGTAGCGAAACAAGATCTGTGCGGGATTCCAAAGAATTACCGCCCAATACCATCACTCCTCCACCGCCAAATTGAACTTTAGGAGCGAAACAACTTTGAGCATAGCGTTTTCAACGCCTTCTCCACACTCTTTGCGATCATCAGGTGAAAAGAACGTTTTTCCAGTTGTCCATATCCCAATCTGCATCGTTTTCAAAAAATGATGTTCACAAATCTTCTTGAACCCAAATAAACGATTTTTGAAATGATCAGTAAAAAATATGTTTTTTCCTATGATTTAAAAAAACATCTTTTCGTCGAATATGGCCAACCCAGTATTCTTTAATAATTGAGATATTGATACGAATAAAAAAAAGAACTGTTGAGAAAACTTGAGGATCAAAATACTCATACAAAGTCATATTTTCAGTAATCCAATGTTTCCACAGGGTGTTCAGAAGCTTAGGGCAAAATGCACCTTTTAGTTACACCCTGTATAACAACAAACATTTTCAATTTTTTTGCAAGATTGACAGTCGATAGTGATGACAATGAAATTACCTACTTTGTGACAAAAAAAATAAACGAAATTGATGTTAAGGTTAAAAAGTTATTTAAAATTTAATTTGAACAAAATGTTGTTTGTTCGGTTAATTTTGCGTGGCAGTGTAGATGTAGATTGAAGTGGTTGTCAAGTTGCACGGAAGAAAGCGACGCGAAGAAAACTGAGGAGATGTTTTTCCTATTCACGATGCTTCAGAGGTCAAAGGGATGGTTCGGCTTTAAATGTGAGCTGAGAGACAGTCCCAACCGATAGCTGCCATTCACTCTCACAGTGGTCGACTGTGGTAGTAGATGGCACTTGTGCGGTCGTAATTGTATATACCTTACTCTTGCGCTAGAAGTTACTTTGCTCTGACACCAAGCCTATACCGTACTCATGGGCGTCAAAAGGCATAAGACGCAGCTGACCGCCTGTGGTCAAACGGGCGAAAGCAGTATCATTAAATTCGTCAGTTAGTGATGGTCGCATCCAAAATCTTTTCTCTCTTGGAAGAAAAGTTATCTTTATTAACCACAATGATAACAAAATTGACGTTTACAGTCAGTGTCCAGAAATTTGCTAATATTACATTCATGGCCACAGTGACGTTTGGACTATGTCTGAATAAAATATCACTGTACAAGAGTATAGCGAAGCATGGTACGTATGCATTTTGATGGTTATACTTGACATTGACAGTTGAAATGAATAGATACTTACATGCTAAGTACATCCACAATTACGTTTTTTTATATTCCAACTGTCACGAAGGCCTGAGGCCTAAACACCCTTGGGGTACCGTGGAGTAGCTGGAAAGGGAGGCACGCATCATGCACACGTTCTGGCCCCGCCTTAGAGATGTGCCGGGTGGTACCTCCATATATATTATTGATGATTCACTAAGCTATTTTCTGAATCCAAACCTGTGACAGGTGAAACTCGACGTTATCTCAGTCGGCTGAAAAATGTAAGCAGTAATTTACGGAAGTGAAAGTCCTGGTTACGGCTATTCTGTGGTTTTTGGTAAGAGTTGGCTCAGTCTACTCTGTGTGCTATACCATAACCAAATACCAAAAAGGACGAGGGCAGCAAAACACATATTCAAAGAGATTCCGCGCTGGCAGTGGTGTGTGATGTGTTCCGCTGTTCCCTTCCTTTTCTGTAGCCGAGTATAGCGCTTTGCAGTGCCAGTGGCTACGGCATGAACATCACTAGTCTCCCAAACTATCGATACTGGATGCCCATCTCTAGCACTGTTGGACCATCCGGCCTTCTAAGCCCACTCACACCCCTACGAAAAAAGCATGCAGAGATAAACCTACTTCAAGATCACTATCTTGACACCTCTTCGCAACGCCAGACGATAACGCATCGTTTTCTTCTTACTCTGTCGCCGGTATTACGGATGTTCTGGGGATTTTATAGGTGTGGTTAATGACCCGACTTCACACGATATGATCCTTTTTGTAGGAAAATATGGTGTCATCCGTTACTTTGTACTTAGGAGAGGAAGCAATAGTTAAAAGTTGGAGTAATTAGAGCACGCCGCAGACTAAAATTAATAAACTAATTAAGGATGTTTAAGGTGTTACTTCCATTTGGTCACAATCTGTGAGAATGCACAGAACACATAGCACTGAAGAACTCCACACTAAATAATGGTAACGCTGTTGAAGTTTGGCAGACGGTGGAGCTTTCTGTTTGCCTGGAGATCTACAGGAACTATTGAAGGCATGCCGAGAGTATGCCGAGGATAAGGACTGCCAAGAATGTGCCGGAAATTCCGGTTGTTCACAATTTGAAATATGCTGAAAATAATATTTACGATATTTAAGGTTAATACATATCTCTAAAATATAGATAGATTTGTCCCGAATCTATTTTATTGAACACTTTCTTTGAAAGCACATATGTCTCTTCATTGAATTGTTCGTT